AGTTAAAAAGCAGATGGACAAGTAGAGATTAATTTCACAGGCTAAGTCAAGTAGAATCAAGTGAGCAGTGCAGGATTGGATACCATAAATCTACATACACTACAAAATCTCTGCAAGATTCATAAATTGCTCCAACAAACGCTTCCACAACTGGGGGTGGTGCTGAGTGTTCGCCAAAGCAAAGGACTGGCTGCAAGTGGTCAAAGGAATAATCAAATCCCTGAATGCTTCTGTCCTCCACTCAACTCATCAGAAGTGAGTTCTTAGTCTCAGGAAATGACGCAGGGGGTTTCTCTGGACTCTGGGAGGCCAAAGGTAGGGATATCATATTGGGCTCATACAAAGCAAATCCTGAACAATCCTCGCCTCTCCTTCTCCACTCAGCCCCAGCACCAGCAATGCCTTACCCATCCCAAGAGGAGGCTAGACAACTGGCCTCTGGGCTTGGTCTAGCCCAGGGATGTGAACTTTTTAGAGCTTCCAATGATACACAGAGCCCACTACCACTGGTCTAGCCTGAGAACAGGGCTCCCCACCAAAAGGCTCCCTGCCCATCCTACAGTACAGCTCAAAGCTGCCCATCAACTCCCAGTGTATATTTTCTTCCTCCACTCTTTTTTTGGTACCAGAGATCAATCTGAGAACATTGCACTTTTGAGGCAGGTGCAGTGCCACTGAGCTAAATCCTCGGCCTTTTCTCCACCCTCAAACGTGAGGACTGTTACACATTAAAAAGAAAGAAAATCAGAAGAAGGCAGGCCAGAACAAAATGTGGGGATGGGACAACTTGGAGAAAACAAATTGTGTAGTCAAACAAAAACCAGTTAACAAAGAATTATAATAAATGACCCTAACATGGTGTTGCATCCATGAAGCAAGATAGGGATATGTGCGGAATCCTATCTGCTCTGTGCCCTTTCCCACTCATCCGAGTTCTCAACAACATAGCAGAGCTGGAGGCCAGGGATAGTCCCAGACTCCCTCACAGAAGCTTCTGTTTCAATTCAGGGGAGGCCAGTGGGGCCTGGAAGGTGGGAAAACAAAGCAGGCAATTTGTTTTTCTGTTGGAGGCCTGCTCTTGGCAGCAGAAGCAGAAGTGGGTGCTAGAGGTGCTTTCAGCAGGAGAAAGTGGGGATGCCTGGCTTTGCTCAGCTGCAAGCATGCGGAGCAGCAGTGAGAGGGACTTGGACACTGGCAGCTTCCTGATCTTCAGGCCGAACCATGATAACGTCACTGCTAATCCCTACCATCAACTCCTTCTTTGCTTGAAATAGCTACAATGGCTTGTTTTGTTGTGTGCACACTGATTGGAATGGTATTAAAAAAAGAAATATTCAAAACTAAGAGAGCTGGGCATGGTGGTGCACCCCTGTAATCCCAGCACTTGGGAGGCTGAAGCAGGAGGATCGCTGTGAGTTTGAGACCAGCCTGGGCTACATAGTGAGTTCCAGGTCAGTCTCAACTACATAGTGAGACCCGGTCTCAACCAAACCAAACCAAACCAAAACAAAGAGAAAGTTCTTAGGCATTAAAAAGGTGAAAGCAGAAATTTAAACATTGATAGAAATGTTAGAATGATAAAACTGAATAGAAGATTGAAACTAGGTCCCTATTTCTTACCCCATACGAAAACCAACTCAAAATGGTTAAAAGACCCAAATATATAAATGGTGTTGGAAAAACTGGCTTTCAACTTGCCAAAGATTAAAACTGGATCCCTATCTTTCACCATGCACTAAACTAAAATCCAAGTGGATTAAAGAACCAAATATCAAAACAGAAACACTAAATTTACCGGAAAGTAAATTAGGTAGAACTCTTGAAGATATTGGCATGGGAGAAGACTATGAACAAATCCTCAGAAGCACGAGAAGTTGCACAAAGAATCAACAACTGGGATCTCATTGTACTAAAAAGTTTTTTCAGAGCAAGAGTAATCACCAATAGAACTAAAAGACAACCTACAAGGTAGGAAAAAATTTTTACCAGCTGCTCTTCAGACAAAGGACTACTATCTAGAATATAGAAAGAACTAAAAACAAACAAAAAAACAACCAACTCAGACTCCCCCCTCAAATACAAAGACCTGATTCAAAAATGGGCATCTGAAATGAACAGACATTTCTCAAAGAAGTAAAAGCAGCAAATAAATATATGAAATAATGTTCAACATCACTAGTCATTCAAGAGATGCAGATGAAAACAACACTGAGATTCTACTTTACCATAGAAAGAATGGATGCTATCAAGAAATCAACCAATTAACAAATGCTGGCAGGGTTGTGGGTAGAAAGGAACCCTTCTCCATTGTTTGTGGGAGTGCAGACTGGTGCAGCCACTGTAGAAATCAATATGGCGATACCTCAGAGAACTAGGATTAGAGGTTCCATCTGACCCAGCTATCCCTCTACTGCTTTTTCCAAAAGAATTAAAAGAATCAAACCACAGTGATATATGTGCACCGATGTTTATAGCGGCACAGTTCGTAATAGCTAAAACTTGGAAACAACCCAAATGCCCTTCAACTGGAGACTGGATAAAGATGTGGTTTTTCTATAAAATGGAGTACTAGTCAACCATAAAGAATGAGAAACTAGAAACATTTATAGCAAAATGGATGCACATTGAGGCTATACCCTTAAGTGAGATAAATAGGACACACTTGAGTAAATACCAAATAGTTTCTCTGGGGTGAAAAACTAAAAGTATAAATAAGGTTCAAATGGTATAACTGTGAGTGTGAAACAGGAAGAAAATGGCTAAAGGGGCAGTGGGAAGGGGAGGGGAAGGAATTAAGGGAAAAGAAAAAAATGTGAAGAATGGAAACAAAGTCTTTGTAAATTAGGAAGGGTGAAGGGAGGGCAGGGGTATGGGGAAAAAACAAGAACCAAGATCTATCATGTACAAGATCCCACTGATAAAATGTAGCTGTATTGCTTGCTTTAAATTTACCAATAAACTTAATGGAAAAAAAAAAAAAGAGCTAGGTACAAGCTCTGAAACTGTGAAAATATAGGGCCAACTCTTGAGGCCATGAGTATAAAGGCGCCCCAAATAGGGGCTCAATAGCACAGGAGATAACAAGAAGAATACAACACGGAAGCACATCAAATTCGTTTAGGCAGCAAGGGGAACAACTAACAGGGTGAGCGACAGCCTATAGAATAGGAGAAAATCCTACTAGCTGCTGGTTTGACAGAGAATTAACATCTACAATATAAACAGAACTCAAAGCCAGGCATGGTGATGCACACCTGTAATCCCTGCACTCTGGAAGGCTGAGGCAGGAGGATCACAAGTTCAAGCCCAGCTTGGGCAATTTAGTAACTTAGCAAGACTGGCTCAAAAACAAAAACAAAGGGCTGGGGGTGAAGCTAGGATGGTCAACTCCCAGTACCACCGAAACAACAGAAACCCTCAAAAAACACCACCAAAACCCCAAGTAGCCCAATTAATAAGTAGGCAAGTGACTAGAACAGGCACTTCTCAAGAGAAGCACAGGCAGGGTGCGGTGGTACACACCTGTAATCTCAGCTCTCTGGAGGCTGAGGCAGGATTACTACCGAGTTTGAGGCCAACCTGACCAGAGCAAGACCCTGTCTCAAAAAATTAAAAAAAAAAAGTACAAATGGCCAATAAGTATAGAAAAAACGTTCAACACCTTTAATCATTAGATAAATGCAAATCAAAAGTACACTGAGATTCCATTTCAAGCCAGCCAGAACAGCTATCATCAAGGATACAAACAATAAATACTGGTAAGAAAAAAAGGTGAGGAATAAATACTGCAGGGAAAATAAATTCAGCACAGCTGGTGGGAATGTAAATTAGTACAGCCACTACGGCTCTCAGGATGGATGAAAAAACTGAGGAGAGCCACCACCTGACCCAGCTATCCCACTCCTTCTTACATATCTGAGGAAACGAAGGCCAGCAGACAACAGGGTACCTGGATACCTGCGTTCACTGTGGCACAATTCCTCGTGGTCAAAACATGGAACCAGCCCACGTGCCTATCAACAGATGAACAAAGATGTGGTATAAACACACAATGGAGCATTCAGTCACAGGAAGAGGGAAATTCTGTCATTTGCAGGAAAATGGATGGATCATGTTGAGTGAAATAAGCCAGACTCAGATAGATAATGCATGTTCTCCCTAATATGTGGAATCCAAAAGAGATGACAAGAAAGTAGGTGCTTTATTGTTAGACAAGATAAAGGGAATAGGTAGGGGAGGGGGATATAAGGGTAGCTTACAGGGGCCGTGGTTGTAACAAAACACATTATGGTCATTGACACCCCCAAAGGTGAAACTGTGGGGGAAGGTAGGGACGAATAAAGTGATCAAAGTATGTGTTTGTGGGAATCTGCCAAAATGAAATCCATTAATCTGCATGACCAAAAAAGGAAGAGGAAGAAGACTAGAGCAAGACTACAATCTTTCAATTAATGACACTGACAACAATATGAAATATATTTATGGATAAGCTGTGTTCAAACATCTGCACGAAATACGATTTGATGTCCAACAGGAAGTTTTTTCTGAAGGATTAAAATTTATTTATTAAACAATAAAAGTCATCACTCCCCTTTGGTCTGATAGTCCGTCTTGACTACATCATTAGTAGCCTGCACTCACTGCTCGTTTTCACCACTAGCATCTCTCAAGTGGGTAGGGGTGGCACTTCCTCTCTCTGGAAATCTCTTAAACTGCTTTCAGTGACAACAGAAGGGCAAGGTTTTTATCTGCTGCTCAACTCTATTAAATCAGAGGCAAAACTACCTCCTTCAATTCTCTGTGGCTGTTTGTAAATTACAAAAGAGGAACTTAATGTTCAGTCTGTAAAAAAAATTTTTTTGGCAATGCTGGGGATAAAATACAAATGACTTAATGTTAAGGTACAAAAGTGCAATATAATGTCTGTATACTATAATAGTAACTTCAATTTTTTAAAAAAATTACTTTTATTATCTCTCCTAAAATGTCTGTAAAAACACTGAAAAAGCACTTCAAAATCTTGGGCTGATATAATACATCTGTGATTTATAGCTAAGCAAAAAATGTTAAATTCTATGAGTCAGAATTTCTGAAGGATTTTGATATTTTGACAGGAATTTATCAGGAGAAATCAGAAAGATCTGAGGATTTTTCTATTTCAGGCATGGGGTGCAATTCCATGGTAAAGCGTGTTTAGCATGCACAAGGCCCTCAGTTTGATCCCCAGCACCAAAACAGAAAAAACAATTTTTCTATTTTAACCTCAATTCTGTTTTGAAAAACTACACAGGCAGCAGTGATGAGATTAATCTGGAGGGAGGAAATTTGTATGCAAGGAGTGCCTGGCCAGCCATTCTATGTAGCTAACTGAAATGCTCTCATTTTTTTCCCTTATATTTTAAATAAAAGTACAAATTTACATATGGTAAAAAAAAGTACATAGTACAGAAAGATCTAAAATAATAAGTAAATATCCTTCTTTCATAACAAAGCAGAGCTGATGTCTTCAAAATCCTTGGCAGTCATGAGTGGTTCACAAACTGAACGTGACTGTAGTCTTCCATGGGCAAACACTTCTCAGGCCTTTATTGCTGTGCTGGCTGCTTCACACAGTGCCCCTGCTACAGAGGAGAGCTACATGGTCTCCTTCTTCATAGAGAAAATGTCAAAGGCAACACGCACACACTGCCCAGAGACAGCAAGGTCCGGGAAGCACCGCAGACGTCTCTGGGTGTAGTGGTGGCTCTGGGGTCCCAGGTGCCAGCCCTGAAATTTAGGAATCATATTTGCTAGCAAGGCATTTTCAAAAGTTAAGAAAACTTCTCCTTAAAAAAAAAATAAAATAAAATGAAGTGACTTGGCCTTGTAAAATGGCGAGACAACTCTGCCAGAGACTTGGGGCATAGTAAAAATTATCTCTATTTAACATTGTACAAAAGGCAGGAGCCGTAGCCTCCTAAGCAACCTTTCCCAGGGTGCTGAGGGAAGGTGAGACAGCAGGGGCTGAGACTGGACAGGGAAAGTCCTTCTGAGCAGCCCAAGGTTTTCACTCACTCTCTGCTGAGCAGGAAGGACTTCTGGAGACTGCAGCAGGCGCTCAGCCGAGTCCTTCCTCAATGCCCCGGATCCTCCTGGCCAGCTGCACATCCTTGGGGAACAGAGTGACTCGGCCAGCGTGCAAGGACAGGAGGTAGGCATCCTCGAAGAGGTGCACTAAAAATGCTTCTGCTGCCTGAGGCAGGAAGAGAAAAGGAACTGAGACCAAGGGCATGGCTGCTTTTCCTTGAAGACTGCCTGAGCTGAATCTGAGGGCTCTGAAGAACAGTGAAGCAAAGACTGCTCTGCAGCCACCACACAGAACCCCCGCCAAGTGCTCAGGCATTACCAAGCCACTCCCTTCTGGAGCCAGATGCGGCCTGTGACGCTCCTGGGCAGCCTTGCAGAATTCTGGAAGGTTCTCCCTCCTGCTCTCAGCCCACCCTGTTACCTGGGCCCTCTCTCACCTCTTGAAGGGCCAGCAGGGCCTGGGCTTGCCAGCTGAAGTCCACACCACGGGAGAATTTATTACATATTTCTCTTACCTGTGGAAGCAAGATGGGGAAGAGTGGAGAGCAGGGTAAGGGTGGGGAGGAGTAGAGAGTAGCAGAAGAGCTGTGAGGGGAGACGGAGTCTGCAGTGTTTCCAGTCAAACCTCACTTCAGTCATTCAGTCCTGGCCTTAACCCCGGGTCTGGCTAGGAGTAGCTGTCAACTTCTGGGAGCTGAGGAGTTGGCATGACTCCTACTGGAGGTGAGGGGATGAGGAGATGCTTCCTGGGACAGGGAACAGGCTCAAAGTGTGGCTGGATGACAGGGTTCCATTTATATCATCCAACGACAGTTTCAAATCAACTGAAATTAGTTACAAATCCTTTTCAGAAGATGTAGAGCCCCCAGCTACCTAGAAGAGAGCTTAGGGTCTCCTGCCCTGGCCGACTATAGGAAGAAGGGCAGCACAGGGTGACAGAAGCTCCCAGGAGCTCACCACACGGCTGAAGGGTGCCTTCCTCAGCAAGAGGTCTGTGCTCTTCTGCAGCTTTCGGATCTCTCTGAGCCAGCCTTGTCTCCGCCGGGCACGCAGACCAGAAGCCCCTGGGCAAGAGAGCTGGGTCAGAAAGGGAAGCTACCGTGGATGGGGCTGGTGCTCTGCGGCTCAGTGGGACAGGGACTGTCAGGTCACTGGACTGCAGCCTGCTGCTACCTTCAACCACCAGGAGACTCACAGGTGCTGAATAAAACATGGTACAGGAACGAATGGGCGTTTCTTTTCCAGGAAATGCTCCGTGAATACAAATCCCTTCTCAGCAAACAAGTGCCCCGATGAACTTGGTATCCCTTTTATCTTTCTCATCTAGATTGGAAACTTGGTTACCTTGGATTTAGCTTATAACTATCAGAGATTATCTGGTAAAAGCCCCCTGTCCTGACTATGCTGGGACTTGGAAGACGGTTGGCCAGAGCTCATCAGAGGTCAAGTTGAGGCTGGGAAAGTGGTGGAGCTCAGTGCCAGTGTCATGGATACAGGCCACACGGTCATAGCCTCTGGCTCAAATTCTAATTCTAACAAAAAATTTAAAAATTTAAAACTTCATCAAAACCAAAAATAAAAGACAAATTCTTTACTCAGCAATTAAAAACAAAAGAATATCAAAGAACAACAAAAAGACCTAACCTTCATGTTGATGAGAAAATGTAAACAAATTGCTTAAAACAAATAATAATGAGTTTGATCCCCAATACCCAAAAAAACCAAATATATATAATTATGATATGTTTCTGATATAGATATATATCAGGAAATAAAACATCAAATTATACTTGTGCTAATTTCAATTGAAGTGTTGTTACTAAATGAATAGAGCAAAATACATATTGAAAAGAAATTAGTGTAAATGAATAAAAAAGTACAATTTCTCAATAAATACAAAAGGACCAATTAAAATGCATGAATGAATCTTGATAAGATGAACAAAAAATTTTAAAAAAGAAGAAAACAAATGCAAAGGTAGCATTTTGAAGGAGTAAATTAGTAAGGTTATTGTTCAAGGTCCAGCCAAGGGCAGGGGGAGAATCTCACGGCTACAGCCCTTGTCTGACAATAAGTGAAGCCCCTCGCAAAGTGAGAGAATCCACACCAAGCAGCTGGAAGATCTGTAGAGCTCATGGGGAAGGGGTGACTTGTGCCAGGAGCTGGCAGGGGAGACTTTATCCCGTGTGAGGATGAGGGACGTGGGCCAAAGGCACAGGGCAGTTCCTGGGGACTGGAGAGAAAGGAAGGCAGAGATAAGCTACTGACAGCTGCCTGCCTCCCTACCGTGCGCCAGTGATACACAGCCTCTAATAGATAGAGGTAGCAGTCACAGAGGATGTAAAGATGAACTCAGCTAAAGATCACCAAACAATTTAAGACCAACGCCATGAAAGAAACAAACCAAATTCAAGAATTAGAATAGCCTATACCAAAAGCTGGGCATGGCGACAAACACCTATAATCCCAGCTACCTGGAGGCTGAGGCAGGGGATCACAAGTTTGAGGCCAGCCTAGTGAGATCCTTCCTTAAACTAAAAAATAAAAAGGACTGGTGATAAAGTTCAGTCACACTCTCTCTCTCTCTCTCTCACACACACACACACACACACACAGGCTGGAGAAGTACCTCAGTGGCAAAGGTCTTTCCTAGCATGTTTGTGGCCCTGGGTTCAATCCCTAGCATCACAAATAACAAAAAATTATAGGTAATAGTCTCAGAAGGGTAAGAAATATGAAATCCATGATCCCAAAACAAGGAGTTATAAACTAGAAGTGGTGTCACCTGACTATAATCCCAGCACCCTGGTAGGTTGAGACAGGAGGATCCTAAGTATGAGCCAACCTGGATAATTTAGCAACTTAGGAAGGGCCTATCTCAAACAAAACAAAACAAAACAACAAACAAAAAACCCAGAGATCATGAAAAAGAACCAGGACTTAAAATGCTATCACTGGGTGTTGACATGCTGACATAAAGAGCTGGGATTCAATCCTAAAGTTAACGAGGAGCCACTGACGCACAAGGTCACTGACAAGAGTGGGTGGAGTAGTGGTTGGTTAGGAGGCTTCCACCATGACTCTCAAGGTGTTGGCGGCCTGAACTCAGTTTTCTGGAGTAGTGTGGTGACAAGTGGCATGTTTAAATATGCAATATGGATTAGAAGTGCTTGAATTTATACTTGGTTAGACGAGAGGAAGAGAAAAGAATGTCTCCCAGGTTTCTGGCTTGAACAACTGGGTGCATGGTTGGGCTGCAACCGAAAACGACTGCCAGGAAGTAAGTGTCAAGCACCCATTTAAGGGAAAACTTTTCATTTAACCAGAAGTAGTGGAAGGAGCCTTCCACACTGGAAAGCAACAGCAAACATCATACTTAGCACTTCCTTTAGCATGAGGGAGACAAGAAGGCCGGGTCACTGCTCCTACAATGCTAGTTTCAGGGCCTCACAATATCATGCAATGAGAAATAGAATGTGGGGGGTCGGGGATTTGGCTCAGTGGTTTCGCCATCTGCCTCGCAAGCACAAGGTCCTGAGTTTGATCCCCGGTACCAAAAGGAAAAAAAAAAAAATGTGTAAAAAACGCAAACAGAAGATTCAACAGTCATTATTTGCAGATGATATGATATTATTCTGCTTAAAAATTCCAGCTGATACAACAGAAAGACTATTACTGAGAATTCAGCAAACTGAGCAGATGCACAGGTGAGATGAGTTTTAGGATAAAAGAAAAGAAAAGAAAAATATCCCAATCACAACAGTAATATACTGTTGTACCTTGCTCCCAGCCATGCAGCCAGAGTTAGAAGCAGCACTCACTCCTACACTGTTGGTGCGAATGTAAATTAGTACAACCATTATGGAAATCAGTATGAAGAGTCTTCATAAAATTAAAAATAGATGTATCGCTTGATCCAGCTTCAGGGCTCCTTAATATATTCCCCAAAGAATTAAAGACAGCATACTACGGCGATCACATGCATATCCATCTTACAGTGGCACAATTCCCAGTAGCTGAGCTGTGGAAACAGCCTAGATGGCTATCAACAGATGAATGGATAAAGCGCAACTGTGGTGCGTACACACAATGGAGCATTACTCAGCCAAAAAGAAGGAGATTACAAGGTGCAGGATTTAGCTCAGTGGTGCCACCGCCTGTCTCATAAGTGCAAGGTCCTGAGTTGAATCCCCAGTACCAAAAAAACCAAAAAAAAAAAAAAAAAAAAAAAAAAAAAAAAAAAAAAAAAAAAAAAAAAAAAGAGATCACAAGTGCAAGCCCAGCCTGGGCAATTTAGCAAGGTTCCCTCATGAGGGGAGAGGAGCCTGGGCTGGGGATGTAGCTCACTGCAAAGCCCCTGAATTCAATCCTCAGTACTGTGTGCAGAAAAAATAAAGAATGAAATCATGTCATTTGTAGAAAAATGGATGGAACTGGAGACCATCACACTAAGCGAAATTGACCAGTCTCAGAAAGTTAAATATCACATATCTTCTTTTATATAAGCAATCTTTTAAAATGTTAAATAAATAAATAGAGGAGCCAGGAAACCCAAAGTAGACTTATAAAGACGGGGTGGAGGGTTAGGAAAGGGAGAAAGGGGTAATAAATAAAAACAATAAATATATGCTGTACGCACGTACCAATACGCCAAAATAAAAAACCATTATTCTGAATTACTAACATGCACCAATAAAAACGGAAGTGGAGAGGAAGAAGATAAAGTGGCTGCCGCCTCCCCGCGCGAAATCATCACAGAAAAGCAAGCCAACACTTCCGCAAGTTAAAAAAGCACGATGAGAATGACCGGTGCTTCCCGTGGCCGGGTGAGTGACTTTGCTCGCGGCGCGGTCTCGGTCTCCCTTTCCGGGAAAAGCTGGAAATCGGTACAATCAGCCGGGCGTGGCGGCGCACTCCGCGAGCCCGGGGCAGGGGACCGCACAGCCCAGCCCAGCCTGGGCGACGCAGCAATTCCTGTCTCCCAACTGAACATTTCTTAAAGGGACGGGGATGTAGCTCTATGCGAAGATCCCGGGTTCAATCCCAGCATCGCAAAAATCAAAGAAAACAGATAAGTGGTAAAGTTAGAACAAGGCAAGCCCAACAGTTCCCCGCGGTCTCCAGTTCGCCGCAGGCGCTGCCCGAAGAGCCCAGCCTGGGCGACGCAGCAATTCCTGTCTCCCAACTGAACATTTCTTAAAGGGACGGGGATGTAGCTCTATGCGAAGATCCCGGGTTCAATCCCAGCATCGCAAAAATCAAAGAAAACAGATAAGTGGTAAAGTTAGAACAAGGCAAGCCCAACAGTTCCCCGCGGTCTCCAGTTCGCCGCAGGCGCTGCCCGAAGAGTGGCGGCGGGGAGAGGCCGTGTCTTAGGGGCAGGGGTATCCCGCCCCGCCTACTTTGGAGCCGGCGTTTTTTAAAACACTAAGGCAGAGACTCCCAGTGGCTGACACTGGCACGCCGGGCGTACAGCGACCGCGGGAAGAACCAATGAGAATACAGGACAAGAGAAGGAAGGCGGCGGTGATAGGAGGAGAGCAGGCAAAAGGCGGGCCCACTGCGGAGCCGGCCAATGGGCACGTGGAGAAGTAAAGTAAGGCGTAGGTTTCCCCTCCGCTTTGCTTTTTTGGAGGCTGCTGGTGTGCTGTGGTACCTAGGTCTTTTGGTAACCTCTGATCTAAAAGGAAAGCACAGTTTTAAGACCCGGAGAGTGTGTTTGTAGAACTCTGGGGAAGTCACTTACCGCAAATATTTATTGTGCCCTATCAACCCTGAGGTGGCTTTAAAGACGAGGGAACACACCCAGAGACTGCCATCTCCTCCCGGGGGCACCCCGTAGAAGCGACTCGGGAGCACTTGAGTCTTGTAATGAAGGCGGAACCCAGTGCCTCGCATACTCTTGGCCAGGGCTGTACCTCTGCGCGACATCCCTGAAGCCACTTTAGCTGCATGAACCTCACAGGTCGTGGGACAGACACCCAGGATGGCGGCCCTGAGTTGAGGTCCAGGCCGGTAGGCGTAGGCAATGTTCTTGCTTCCTGTCAAGCATGATGATGGAATCATTCCAGGGAAACAATCTCTTCCATTTCTGTTGGGAAAATAGGAATTCAGAGCGTATCTTTGTACTTATAAAGGGAATTTTAATTTCCTCATTTTGCTTTTTTGAATTTTCTAAATGCTCTAATGTGAACATGTACTGTAATCAGGAAAATCGTTGGTTATCAAATCAGCAATTTCATGGAGCCTTTGTGCAGTGCTGGGGAGAATGTTAAAATATTGCAACTGCTGTGAAAAATGATATGTATGGTGGTTCCTTTAAAAAATTAAACAGAGGAATTCAGAGTCTGTGGCCGTAGACAGGCAAGGAATGGACACTGTGTCAGCGCCCACGTGGGACACGCAGGCTCTAGGGAGGATTTGAGCGCCTGAGCCCCAGGCTGTTCACCCTAGCAGCATGGAGGACGATGCGCCGTTGATCTTTGGCCTGGAGTTCCAGGCACGGGCTCTCACACCTCAGCCTGCAGAAACAGATGCCATCTGGTTTTTGGTTGGGACACAGTCTCTTAAATATGATAATCAGATCCACATCATAGATTTTGACGATGAAAACAACATTATAAATAAGAACGTCCTCCTCCACCAAGCGGGTGAAATCTGGCACATTAGCGCCAGCCCCTCGGACAAAGGGGTTTTGGCGACCTGCTTACAATAAAAGTGCTATGAGGTGAGGATTCTCCTCCTCCAACACTCCTGCCATGATGTGCTGTGCTGCCCAAGCCCACAGTGACCCTGGACTGAAACCTCTGCTGATGAATCTCAGGCGTCCTGCCACAGCCTGGAAAGCTACTACCACCACCATCTTGTGCCAACACTGTTGTTTCTCTCGTGGTGTCCCAGGCTGTCTTCCTCACTAGATGACGGTATGACCGAGAGCTGGGAAGTTCCAGAGTCGAATCCAACCCTGCCCTCTTCTCCCTGTACAAATCTGGGACTTCACTTCAGCCCTCCAGGAGTCATGCTCCTCCCTCCCCTATAAAATCCCAGTGATCCTGACAGCAGGAAGAGGAGGAGCAGCCCTGGGCACTGAGCACTCTCAGGGAATCACGTGGGTCACTATGCTGAAGCTCTGCTGACCGTGCTGGCCACACGGCAGCGCTGTCCCTGGGTGCTGTCACCGAATCAGTCCTCATCCAGCTGCTCTGGGGCAGAGGCTGGCTCATTGGATCCCTTGACTGTCTCCCTGTTCTGCTCCTGAATCCCTCTCCTGATCTCACCTGCAGAAGCCCTCCGCATTGGCCCCGCACCTCTGGTGTCTGCAGTGCCCACACCTCTGTCCTTGGCTCTGAGTGTCCCCAGCATCCGTGCCATGAACAAATCTGCTGTACAGTGCTGATGGCGCATGGGGAAAAGACAGGCTGAGTTTGAGACACCCTGGAAGCAGGATTCCTTGGGCTGGGGCCGACTGCGTCCTGGATGACCGAGGAGGAGGCAGGGAGGCCACAGAGATGTTAGCTATGGGGCTCTGGGCCTAGGCCAGGTCCACTTGGGCTGAGGCATGACCCTGGTCCTCAGTACTCAGCTGTGCTGACTTCTGGGCCAGGATGCTCCGTGGCTGGCACTGGGATGATGTAGAGACGCTGCCACACACCTCTGTGGTGACTGGGCTGGGGTGGCTCCCATTGTGCAGTCAGCAGGCGGAGGATCAGTGTGGCCTCTGCGTACTCCTGGGCTGCTCACAGCATGGCCGAGTCTAGGCTTCTACATGGTGGCCGGGGGAACAGCAGTGTCCCAGTCCTCAGAACAGGCAGGGCTGCCTCTCCTCACCTGGGATCACCGTCCTGCCAGCAACTCCTCTGTGGCTCCTTGGTGGAAACCGTCACACAGGGACATGCCAGGAGGTGAGCAGAGAAGCTCTGTACCACAGAGGACTGTGAGATAAAGTCACGGCTCTGCTCAACTAACCCCACCCTCACCCAGCCCCACATCTACCTGCACCCAGTCAGGAGGCTGTGGTCAGAAGGCTCCAAGGTGCTGGGCACTCCCTGGTCTTAGGGGAGCCTCCCTCTGGCAATGGCACAGAAGTCAGGGAGATCCCCTCCTCCTGCTCCTCCATCTCCCTCCCACTGAATTCTAGCTCTTGACTCAAGCACAGCCTTCTGTGCTGTGCACCCTCCTCCCTCCCTCCCCAGGAACACAGTTGTCCTGGAACCCTTTCCCTCTAGCTCCCCAGATGGGGCTGCAGGATGATTCACTGTGGCTTCCTCCCATGTGGCTGGTCTTCCATGGGTAGGACGTCCACATCCACGGAGTTGCCCTCATGGCTCTGTACTAAGACGGCAAGGACACATATGAAATGGACACTCATGGGAAAATACACCAGGCATTATTGACCGTGGTCACCACCACCCTATGCTACAGTAGACCTGACAGCAAGTCCTCATGTCCATCTGAGACTCTTCCCTCTGGCCACGACTCCTCCATCCCTCTCCCCTCTCCTCCTCACTCGAGCTCTACCCTGACCATGAAAAGTGACATCATCAGGATACAGCTCACTCAGAAAGCACCTGGACCACCCAGCCTCCTTGAGGGTTGAGGGTTGTCTGGGATTCTGCTGGGTGCTACTTATATTGGGGCCACCTTGTTTCGGCGGTGCCCACAGGATGGCAGGCAGCAGCAGCACAGGGCCTGTAGGCAGCTTGTGATGCTCCTCTTGAGAGCCTTCCAGTATTGATGCCCACTGTTGGCAGGGGCAGAGGTGGTTCTGGAGCTACAGCGGGGAGCTCCAAGGCCTGGCTGGCGGGACACGCTGGGCATGGCAGGGCCAGGCTGTGGGATGGGCTGGGAGCGGTAGGGCCAGGCTGTGGCACAGGCTGAGAGTTGGGGTGCTTTGGATGGTCATGGGCAGCTTGGAGCCTCTGCCACCCTGTTCTCCTCGGGGCTTCAGTCTGGGGAATAAGCAGCCAGTACAGGGGACAGGATTGCTGGCCGTCCAGGGGATGTGAGGTGAGAGTGCAGGACTTGTCAGGTGACATGATGTATTCTTTGCAGCCGCATGCACAGTCCTCACCGGGTTTCTGAAGCCCAGCCCCTGGAGGGCCTGGCTGTGCAGCAACAGGAAGGTTGCCATCTCATGATTATACTTCTTCCTCCTCAGGGTGTCCATCACCGTTAGTGGGTCGAAACCCATCCCAGCCATATGGCTTAGAATTGCCCTCTTTGCAGGCACAGGAAATGGCTCAGGAGGACGGGGTGGCAGGATACCCTGGAGCCACCGGTGCTCCAGCACCTTCTGTGCTGTTGGCCTCATGCTGGGGTCCCGGTTCATGAGCTTTCTGATGAAGTGTTTGGTATTCGTGGAGATGAAGTTGGGGTAAGAGGCCATCCCATAAATGATGTTTTCAGTTATCTCGGATGGATCCCCACAAAAGAGACATGTCCCAGTAACCATCTCATATAATATCAGGCCAAGGGCCCAGATATTGAGGGGAGGGCCTTCATACGTCTGGTACAAGATTGTTTCTGGGGCCTGGTACACCAGTGTGCCACCAACCGCAGTCACCTCCTGCCCAGGGAGGAACCGGAACCCGAACCCAAAGTCGCATACCTTAGCACGGAATTGGGCGTCAATCAAAACATTTTCAGGCTTGAGGTCCCCATGTATGATGCCCTGCTGGTGGCAGTAATCCACCGCTCCCAAGATGTCTCAGAAAATCCTCCAGGCATCCTTCTCCTGCAGCCTCTGCCTTTCGGTCTGGAAGATCAGTTACCACAGGTTGAGCACCATCACATATTCTAGGACCAGGTGTACTTTGTCCTTAGTTTCTATTACCTCCAGCAACTGTGTGATGTTAGGGTGTCAAAGGTCCTTCAGTAACCCAACCTCCATCATAATGTAGGCCGCTTGCCCCTCTGCCTTTGTTAACTCCTTCAAGGTGACCAGCATGCGTGTGCCACAATCTTCTGCCAAGAACACCTTGCCAAAGCTGCCTTCTCCAATGAGGCCCAGCACATCATAGTTATCTTAGAGTCTGTATCTGTATGAGCTGGTCGTGAGGCCCAGCCAGGATGTTCTCTCACTACAATCATCAGACACACTGCTTGGCACAGTGTCACGATGTCCTACACTCCCCATACCACCAAATCAATCACCAAATCAACAACAATCTCCACCAAATTCTCTCTCAACAGTCTCCGTCTACCCACAACAGACCCACCTGAACCACGGCCTTATATAGCTAACTGCTGTGGCCTCACAAGGCTCCTGTGACGTCACAGAACCAACGGGCCAATGGAGAGCTGGCCACACCCACCAGGGCCACCTCACTGTGACCAATAGGACCTTTTGCTTGTAACAGAAAAGGTTACAAAATTTCTTGCTTGTGTGGGTTGTGGAGATCGACAAACAAGTGTTTAGAAATAAAAATCAATCCATACGATGCCCCCAAATCCTTTTCCTTTCTGTTATACCTTTTGTTTTAGAGCTCTCATGGTGTCTACACTCAACATGTCTAATTCCTTTTGCTTTAAATTCTTGCTGGTTTCAGAGTGATGCTACAACTTCATTGACATTAGAGTAATGTAATGCTCTGTTCAGGAAACATGTCATGGCACATTACTGCCCGTGAAGCTGACAGGAAGACACCTATCATAATCATTTCCCCGCAAAGACAATTGATAGAAAAGTGCTGTACAATTAGACAGGCCCTGGCCTTGCCTCCATTTCCTTTTCCCACAAAATGTTTTGTTTTGGAAATGTAACTTTGTGCTGCTGGGCTCCTACCCAATGTGTCAAAATGGTTTGCGGCTGTTTGAACTTTGCGTCCTTTCAGGGATGTTCAGTTAAGCTCTGTCCCCTCACAAGAAGGTTCTGTTAAGCTCCCCCCCCCAAGGAACATTCTGTAACTCGGCCCCTCTGCTTCCACAAAGTTCTTGAACTCCACCCCCCCACCACAGCCCCGCTTAATTGAGCATGCTTACCTACCCTGCAGGTCCCTGTACAGGGAGGCTCTCATTCCTGGTAGAGTGCTCAGAATCCTCTGAGCCCACTGGGACTTGCCAGTGAATAAAGGCTTTTTCCCACCTCTTCCACTTACCAGCAGATTTCCGAATCTTCAAATTATGAGAGCTGTGTTCCAGAGCTGCCACACTGAGCTGTAAAGCTCAGCAGTGCCTCACAACTGGGGCACGTGGCTGCAACAGTGAGTTGTAAAATTCAGCTATGCCACTGACATGAGTGATGAATCTGTTTAATGACAATGCAGTGTCTCATTTCTGCAAAATCCTCAAAAGGAGGCAAAACAAGTGTCACTGGACAGATTCTTTGGTAAAGTGGCACAAAGAGAAAAAGATTCCGTGGAGCCAATAGACAGCAGTAATTCTTTTAGTGACAGTGAAAGTATCCTGTACAATAGCCCTCCTCCCTCCTGACTCCCTCACATAAGCCACCAGGTTTTAAAGGTAAGTAAGTGCAGGTCAGTTTGTTTATTTTTCATTATTATTTGTATTATATTACAGTATTATAATAATTTTGATGTGAATTTTTTGGGTTGTGGAATGAATCATCTGAGTTTCTGTTATTTCTTATGGGGAAACTCACGTTGATAGACAAGTGCTTTGGATTGCCAGTGTGTTTCTGAATTATGCTCACAAATCAAGGTTTTGGGAAACAGAGATAAATGATATATATGGTTCTAATAATAATAAGTGGTGTGTTTTCAAATGTAATGTAAATTTTTATAGTACTGTGTATGCCCTTTTTAAAGTTTCTGTGTAAGAAATACAACTCATGAAGTGCTTTTTCTTGCTTTATCACAATAATACCTGTCTGTTATGCCAGGGGTGTTGCACTCCTGTAATCCATATTCTCAGGAGGCTGAGGTTGGAGGGTCACAAGTTTGAAGCTGTTCTGGGCAATTTTATCAAAAACAAAAAGGATACAATCTCTTCTTCAAAAAAAAATTCTTAACAGAGTGGCATATTGGAGTATTGTACACTCTGAATCTCTTCAGGGTTGTGGAGGTGGGAGGTTATAGGGTAAAGAACTGAGGCCTGCAGTCAGCCCTGAACCCAAGGAAACAATTCTATCATCACTCTTAAGATCTCCCTTCTGCAAGTTTATACAAATAAAATCTTTTTTGTTGTTGAAAAAAAAATTAAACAGAATTACTATATGATCCAGCGATTCCATTTGACTGTGTATTTAAAAGAATTGAATGGAGAAGAACTGAAGTTTTGCAACAGAATTTATACCCTTATATTCATAGTGTAACTGGCAGGGCAAAGTGGAACTTGAGAGTTGTAATGTTTTCCTCTAGAGACAAACTGCTTCTCCAGACTTCCTCGGGCCTAGGGCATAAACAGCCACCTTCTCTCAGGCCAGGTGGTGGATGAATATGCAGATGCTGGCGCCAGGTTGGGATCCAGTTCCTCTTGCACAAGGAAAGGAAGAAGTAGAAATAAGCCAGAAGGGATGAAGCAAGCTTTAGAGTCTTCTGTTGTCTCATTGTACTTCCTTCTCCCTTCTCTTCCTTCCTACGGCACGCCTGGATATGCTGAGAGGGTGATTTGAGGCAACTCAAGGATCTGGCCGCCCCCCCCAACTCCTCAGAGCTAGCTTCGAATGAAGGCTTTTTCCTTTCACTACGCCTCCCATGTTTGGGAGCAGTGCACTTGCAGACCTGAGTGGCCAGTAACAATAACAGCTTTATTCACAACAGCACAAACCTGGAAAGAGCGTGAATGTCCACTGATCGATGGATGGACAGATAAAATGTGGAATATGCAATGGAATATTATTCCACTTTAAAAAGAAAAAAAAATTTGATACATGCTACAAACATGGATGAACTTCAGACATTATGCTAAATGAAATAGGCCTGTTGCAAAAGGACAGACACTATAGATCCCATTTCTACGTAGTACTTGGAGTGGTCAGATTCATAGAGACAGAAAACAGAACAGTGATAGCCAGGGGCTGGGGAAGAGAGTGGAATGGGAGTTAGAATTTAACGGGGATAGAGTTTCAGGTTGAGAAGGTGAGAGAAGCTCTAGAGATGGGCAGTGGTGATGGCTACACTATATAAATGTACAGTACTTTGTGCCACTGAACTTGTACTGGCTAAGATACAAGAAACCTGACACTCACAGCTTAAGGGACGGGAGGTTTAATATGGCTCACGGTTTTAGACGTTTAGTCCATGGTTGGCTGGCTTCAAGACAAAACCATGGCAGAAAGGCAGAGCTGCTCACCTCACCATGGCTGGGAAGCACAGTGGGTCAGACAGAGCACATTGAGAGGTACCCTCATCAGGCACACCCTCGGTTACCCACTTCTGGCTGCGTCTCACCTGCTGGCCATACATCCAGTTGTGAACATCCTTTGGTGAGTAGAGCATGATCTCTCACCTCTCCAGTGTCTCTTAATTCAGCCAAGCTCAGCCTCAAGCATCACAGAGCTGCGCACTTCAGAGTGGTTAAGATAGCCGGGGATTTAGCTCAGTGGTTCTGCTGCCTGCCTCACAAGAGCAAGGTCTCGAGTTTGATCCCTGGTAAAAAAAAAAAAAAAAAAAAAAAAAAAGGTTAGGGTGATAAATTTTATATGTATTTTTGCAATAATAAAAAAGTAAAGGAAGAAAGGAAATGTTTTACTAAGTCTATTAAGGTATAGTCGTATCACAGAAAGAAGATTGTTTTTCAGTAAACTTGGACAACACAGAAAGAAGAAATCCATGTACACCAACCCTCAACAGCCATTAAGCAGACAAAGCAAATATTTACTCACTAATTCTGCCTTAGACTGATATTCCTATCTTTGTTCCATTAGAAGTAGAAAACTAGGCAGAGAACAGAATCTAGAGTTCATAAGAAACTAATAAAATTGGCTGCCTCTGAGGTAGTGGTGAGTGGATGGAGTCAGAACAGGGAGTGATGTTTCTCAGTGTGTACATTTTTATATATCATTTTGATTTATGAGCCAATTGAATTTCTAATGTTTTAAAAATAAAACTAAATTTAAAGCATAACGTGGGCTAAGGGAGCCAAGGAGAATACTAGCCCTCCTGAAGTCCAGAGGAGTTGAATGAAACAGAACATTAAATTGTAGATCCTAGGAATCCCTAACACTTAGCACCAACTGTTGGCAGTGGGGTGTTCCCAGTGTAGGAACAAGAGAAGACAGAAAATGAGTTAGATGGTTGAGTCATTGTATCAGAGACAGAGACTCCCTCAAAGCCTTGAAGGCTCTACTCTATTAAATCTTCCTATGGAAGAAGGCTAGATTCTAGAAAAAATTTCTTGGATTTCCTCATGGGCTGAGAAGCTACAATTCCAGTGTTCCTCATTCCTGTAAGACCCTTTAGAAAACCCAGTGGTTAAGGCCATGTCGGGCACAGCTGTAATGTTCGGCAGAAATGTAGTCATTAGCAAGTTGGCGACGCAGGTCTGAGGGGGCTACTAGAAAAGCAAAGAAGATGTGATTGTTCTTCCCTTTCTTAATCATTACCTGTAGATTAGATCCACACAAACATGTGGTTTCAAACTTTAGCTGAGAGAAGGTAATATCCTCTAAATGTGCTGGTAAGGTCCAGACATCAGTGAGGGTTTAGAAAAACCTCGAGATCTCAAAATAATTTAAGTGGAGACATCCACAGAAGGAGTAAATAGAGACCTATTTGGTACACACAGCCCATTTTATCTGTACAAGAATAATAATTTTATCTGTACAAGAATTTTATCTGTACAAGAATAATAGGAATCACTATAGGTTTGGGGAAACAGGCAGAATCCTGGGCCCTTATCTGCTGCTCCACTAAAAACATGATTTGTGTTTCTTCCTGGGATAGCCAGGGACTTTAAAGTCATTTTTGCCATGAACCTTAATTCTTCGGTTAGGCCTACAGATGTCCAATTGATAGAACACCCAAAACAAAGTTTGATTTTCACTTTGTATCCTTTGTCACTGTAAGATCTGGGTCAAATCTCTTCTCAGCTCTACATATAGATACATTAATCATTTAGGGAGTGTCTACCTAAAAATTGGCAAAACAAGGTTGATTAGTCATAAATTTACAATTCTGATCCCACCCAAGATTGAGAACACCAGCTTGGGGTTTCCAGGGACGTTCAACTGTGCCTCAAAGTCTTCAGCCATTGTCCTAAGCCTGTGAGCACCTAGATTCCAGAAAAAGCAGAGCTTCACATGACTGAGACCACCACAGCAGAGAGAATCCTTTTCTGGGAAGGAACCACCTCTCAGCCATACAAATTCTAGAACTATGACACCGGGACTGAACAAAGACCAAGTGGATTCCAGATGATCACCAGCTAACACTGAAAAGCTAGCTTCTGCCTCTGTGGATGGGCCAGGCTAAAACCCTGTATTAGAGGGTGTCCCCCTCCAGCTACCCAAGCTGGAGTCCTCTCCTATCTTCCCTCTAGTGTTCCCATTAAAAAATTTCAGTAAATTTGTTTAGTTTTAATGTCTATCATTACTAAAAAGAACCCAAACTTTGCAGTGAGTTGCCCACATGGATGGAAATAAAAGTCAGAAGTCAAGGAAGTAGAAATAGATCATTCCTCAGATTACCCAACAGCCATCTCTGCTGGGGTAGTATTCCCTACTTCGGCCAGGAATAAAACATCCTTCCTGACCCAGAGTAGTCTGGATGGCTCCCAATGAACCCTTTTCTTATTTATATTTATTTTTTTGGTACTTGGGATTGAACTCAGGACCTTGCGCTTGCAGAGCAGGCAGCAGAACCACTGAGCTAAATTCCCAGCCCAATGCTTTTCTTATTTTGTGACAGGACAGTATTAAGTCACTAAATTGCCCAGCCTGGGCTTGAACTTGCTTCAGCCTTCCAAGTGCTGGGATTACGCGTGTGTGCCACACACACACAGCTCATGTGGCCTTTGAAATACTCCTTTATCCAGTATCCCTCCTCAGCTCTCATGACTCTTCTCTGCTTATGAATGTCTGTTTTCCCCAGTGATTCCGTAGGTCCTCCAAGACTCTCCTCTGTGTTACGCTCTTGAATGTATCTGCAACCCTGACCTTTTAACTCTGTAATTCCTGTTCCTCGTTGCCTCCAGTTTGTCATTTTTCCTCTTGAAACAAGTGAAAAGGGAAGCTGGGCATTCTCTGAAAGCCCTGACTGACTGAATTATGCAGAGCTACTGAATTGTGTTTTGGAGTCGTCACTGATCAGTCCCTCCCCGTCCCAAGACAGTCCTTGTCTGGATGAATGGAGGTTGGAGTGATGACCCCATAGAAGACAGGGCTTGTGTAGGAAGGGGACACTCGATTCGGAGGTGGGGAGTGGGTAAGAGGTGCTGGTGACCAGGAGCAGGGCACCACTAGGTGTGTCTCAGTGAGGTCACACACATGGCTCAGGTTGCTCGGACAGAGCAGGAAGCCGGCCACTGCTCTGGGGTGACACCTAGTAAGGTGGACAGTGAGAAAGGAAGGGGCAAAGAAGGAATTCTAACCACAGCAATTCCCTTCTCCAGTTGATGGATGATAACACATTTGGCAGAGCAGGTGAGGGCCCCAGAACCCAGCACAGGGAGAGATGTCTAGGTTGGTCTGTTGCTTGGTACTAAGTTCTACCAACTAAACTAAAATTGTCACTATATCATCTGCCCTTTTTCTTCCTGTTTGACTTTTTTAAAGTTTATTTTATTTTTGCAGCACTGGGTTGGAACCCAACACCTTTTGCATGTTGAAGCACTCTACCCCTGGGTTCCATCTCCAGCCTTGCACCAAAAACCTCAAATCCCTGTACTTAGTGGAAGGAAGCCCACTGCTGGCTAACAGCAGTGGCAGTCTGTGAAAACCTGTGTGTTTGACTCATGTAAGGCACACTGAGCATCGCTTAACAGCAAGGCAGCATACTGGATCCTGGGGCTGCATGGATGCCCAGTATATGGTTCCTGGATTCGTCAGTTTGGGAAACATGTCATACACAAATATCATTCCGGTGTGAAAAATAGAAATAATCACAGGTAGCATGTATCCAGTGGTTTTTCTCCCCCCCCCATGGCAGATGGGTGACTTTATATTGTATTGGTATCTTTTTTTTTTTTTTTCTCTCCAGTGTTTACTCTTTATTTTTTTGAGAAAGGTTCTCACTGCGGAGTTCAGGCTGGCCTGGAACTCAGAGATCCTCCTGCTTCAGCCTTCCAAGTGCTTTGTTTATAGGCTTGCACCATCACACCCAGCTCACGAGTGTTTACCCTTGGTCAGGTCTTCTAAGTACTTTATTTTTCCATTAAATTTATTGGTACTTTTTAGGTATACAGTACAGTTACACTCATCTTTGGGATCTTGGACCTTTACACAATGTATCTTGGTTATTTTTTCCCCAGTGCTTTAATTTTCAGATGCGTTCTTGTTATATTGCCCAGGTTGGACTCAAAATTGAGCTACATTCCCAGTCCTTTTTCTTTCTTCAGTATGAGTCTTGCTAAGTTATCCAGACTGGCCTTGAACTTGTGATCTTCCTGCCTCAGCCTCCCAAATAGCTGGGATGATAGGCATATTCCACCGTGCCCAAAGTGGTTTATAAACTTATTTATGGCCAAATCCTCCACTGACTTTGAAAGGTTCAAGTCAAAAGGCCAGAGGGGCAGCATGCAAGGGAAAGCAAGAGCAACAAATAACAAGCATCCTCGGGAGGTGATCACCTGAGGAATGAGAAGAACCCCTTCCTTTGAGAGGCAGTCAAGGTCTTGAGAGGTGACAAGACTTATTTAAGGTCCCCAGTCAAGGATGGGGAAGCGCTGAAAACACCAGAGCCCCATTCCTGCCATCCTCACCAGCGGGCAGCGCTGACCTTGGATGCTATTTGCTCACAAAACAGCACAGGACATAGTACTTTGACCATAGGACAAAGTAAAGGCCCGAAGGCCCACCTGGCCCAGTCTGCCAGTGGGCAGTCTCAAGCAGGAGAAAAGCCCAGGTTAATCCAGCCTGATACTCCCCCAGGGTAACTTTGGCAGGGAGGGGACAGGGCAGTTCATGTAAATGCAGATGTCTGTTAGGCTGAATCAAGATCTTTAGGAGTGTGTTGTTGGTTAGTTCTGATTTCAGGTTCATGGCCTGTGATAGAATGTCCACCACTTGGGGCTCCCTCTCCACCCAGGACATGGGGCACTGCCAGACTCAGCAGCAGAAGCATGGAGGCCTTCAGCTCCCTCCACACAACTGGCAGGATACCGAAAGGCCCTCAAACACACCTTCCAAGGGCTACCTGTCTCCAGGTGCACTGTCCCTTGGGGGCTGAGGGCACCTACTGTCAGCATAAATGTCTCCCCAGGTGTCCTGTTTTACTATCAATGTGATCTGATATTTCACTCTACAACATAGCTGGATGAAATGCTCCGCCCCTCCACGCGAAGCTCCGGGCACTGCTGGAGCAATGTCTGTTGACCTCAGAGCTGCGGATGTGGCACCGCCAGGGGACAGAGTGAGGCACCGTAAGCACCTTCAAGTCTGCCCTCTAAGGCTATGTCCACGTCTGTCACGTGAGACCGAGGTGGATCCCTGCGGCAGGGATATGAAAACCCTGAGGAAAGGTGATTCACCTGAGCCGACAGGAGATCTGACGGGCCAGCCCCTCTCCCTGCTCTGCTCCCCGTCATAAGCCTATCATAATCCCCTACCTTTCAAACTCGGACCCCCACCCCAGCGGCACTGCAATGGAGGCCAAGTGTTCCCAAACACCTTCTTGAACAGTGCACAGTTTAGCATGCAGGTGGGGCAGCCTAGGGCAGGTGAGGTGAGCAGCACTGGGCCCTGGGTATATATGAGCCCAGGGTGGGTCAGGACAGGGCACCAGGACACCTGGCGTTGCCTGCAGCCAGCAGTGTGACCTTAGGGAAGTTCTATTAGCTCTCTGGGCTTTACTGTCTCCATCTGAACAATGAGTGTGAGAGGAGGCGACTTCTATGCCTCTGGTATGCTGGTGCTTTCCACATTCTAGACGCCACCCCAGGAATCCTTGTGAGCCTTTCACAACACACAAAATGTCCAATACTGTCAATTTCCATTTCTTTCTTTTTTTTTTTAATTCAAGTAACAGTGTAAGGCCTCAGTTTTTTAGGTAAGGCAGCTGCCACATTGTTTGCACCACCCTCGCTGCCTGTTTCATTCTCTGTGGGACACACAGGGACCAGAGAGCTGGGGGAATGGAGCGGCCCCTTCCTCAACACACAGTACCAACCTGCTGGAATCCAACACAGCCTGTGGGCCTCAATCAGAGGCCCTTCCCACAGTGAACTGAATCCCAGTTAAGTCCAGCATCCTGGGCCTCTCCAGACATCTAGGTTTCCGGGGCCAGGGATGAGATGCAGTTGTGCCTCCGGTCCCATCTGCTGCAGTCACGTGGCTGTCCGGCTGAGGTTCCCCAGGTTTTCCTCCCTCACCATCAACTTTCACCACTGGCGTTTCCTCATCCTTAAAATGAAGTATTAAAACGATTATCAGAGGCTGCCTGGAATTGCCCGGAAGGAGGGGAGCTAATGAGATCAGAACAGGCACAGGAAGGGGAGGCATATAGGGGCTCTTCCTCTTGTCTCAGGTTGGTCTACACCACAGGCCCACAGGATGCTGGGTCCAGAAGGCACCGAAGGCTGCGGTGTGACACCCACTTTGCAGAGCTAACAGGCGGGGGAGCACTTACTGAGTCTGCAGAGGAGTTTGGGCTGATACCAGTTCTCCAGGCAGGTTGAAGAAGTGTTTTACACATTTTAGAAAATACAGTGCTTACTTCTGGTTTGAACTTGCTCACTGACTTCCCTTCTTTGGATGACTCATAAGCTAGATAATCTAGCATAATAATCTTGTTTATGATTCAGAAATACTACGGTTGTAAATTCCTGCCATTGAAGTTCATGATTTAGCTTTAGTGCTGCAGGGGGGACTGGGTCACACCCTCTAGTAGGCAGTGGGGAGAACAGAGAATTCAGGTGTCACGTCTTCTTCCGTGTCAGCTGCTGCCTCAGGGTCAGAGGGAGCGGGCAGGGCTGTCAGGCCCTCCGTCGTGTGGCCTCAGGATGAAGAGGGAGTACTGGGGTAGCAGCAGAGACCCTGAGGGAAGCTCAGCTGGCCTCATTGATGGGAGTCCGGCCGCCACCCAGCAGTCTCTCATGCTCGCTCTCCTGGGCGGGGCGCCAGCACCGGGACAGGCAGGCCCGCAGTGGGTGGTGCAGCCCATTGTAGAGGGCTGTGCCCATCAGGAGGATGAAGAAGCCAAGGATCTGCAGCGGGTGAAAGTCCTCCCAGCCCAGGGCCAGGCTTAGGGCCCAGATGACTACGGTGCGCAAGCTGTCTAGCACCATGCGGGTAGTGGCACTCAGTTCCTTGGTGACGCTGATGCCCGCGAAGTTGAAGAAGGCGATGCTGCTGATGTTGCCCAACAGCGCCAGGGCAATGAGTGGCTGCCGGCCGACCTGGCAAAAGGCGTCCAGGGCGTCCTCCAGGGTCCCTCGAGGGTTTCCACTGAAGGAGCCAGCGGGGATGAAGTACATGGGCACCAGGAGCAGCGACAGGATCAGGAAGCCAAAGAGGCCTGGGGTGGAAGGGAGGAAGCAGGGTACTTTTTTCATCCCGCCCCAGCGTCTCAGCATAGCCACAGGCACAGCAGCCCCTGAGCTCAGGGCTGCTCCCTCTGTTGGCTTCCTGTGGTCCACTCCTGGGATCCCTCCCTCTGCCTCCTTAGGGAACGTGGACCTATGCACTGGCTCTGGGTGCCCCTTCACCTCAACCCAGTGGCTTGTAACTGGACCAAGAATAAGTCCATTGTTCACCTGACCCCAGTGCATGTCCTCAGGTACAGACACAGGTATGCACACACATACACATACTCCCCAACCACAGCCTCCCTTACTATGTACAGTGCTTGCTGATATGTTTACATTCTGTCCTGTTCATTTAAAAAAGAACTGCTGGCTTTAACTCACTACGTTGCTTTTGTAAGTCTGGTAAAACACGGCTAATTCAGCACGCAACTGGTCTGTGATAAGGAAGCTAGAATGTGCCAAAATGTAAGTAAATGCACAGCTTCATTCATAAAATCTTACTAGAAAATAAAAATGAGCAGGAACAGTTTGCTTTCAGATGTAATTGATTTCCATTCAGCCATCAGCAACTCTGCCCACGCTGGTCCACAGCCAAAGAGCCCTTGGTAGGTACTTATCCACGGGCCACTGTATTAGCACAGCTGTGATCCGTTTTGCTAATCTTGTATTTTTAAAAGCATAATTTTGATAGTTGGTTCTCTGCTCAAAAACCTTCGGTGGCTCCTCCTGCTGATCACAGTCTAAATCTACTTGCCTGACACCAGGGTTCTCCATGATAGGACCCTGATGAAATTCATTATTTCTCCAACAATAAGACCTATATCGAGCAGCAATTATTTATAGTTTTCCAAACCTTTCCCTGCCTGTACCCCACTCCTGCCTGCTGGAACCTGTGACTCTAATGCCTTCCGTGCCCTGACAGACTCATTCGTGCTTGGCAAACGAGGCACTATTTCAGCATAGCGGTCCAAGCTCAAGTGCTCTGCCTGGGCCTTTCTTCTTGCTGGTCACCTTCAACAGAGAGGGGTCATCCTTATCCCTGGCTCAGCAGACGTTGGGATCTGTTGACTTCTCTCTAGGGTTGCAGGAAGCGGGGCAGGAGGCTCACCCTCCTCTCCCCCAACCGTGACCTCAGCCCCTGCTCTTTGCTCCTCAGGTGTGGGTGACGCCGCGTGCTGCCCCTCAGCATGTCCACCTCTCCACTCACCACCCCCGGCCCTGTGCCACACGCACCCTCTGTGCCCACTGCCCGGAGTGGGTGCACATTGTGTTTGTAGACGAACTTCTCCTCTAGCACCATCTGGATGGCGACGATGACCTGGGCCATGATGATCAACAGGTCCCCTGAGGAAAGGAGGGCCCAGATGAAGCCAGGGTCACACCAGGGCTGGGGTCAAGGGTGGGGTGGTGGTGACTGGAGGGCCCCAGGGATGGAACACATTGGCTCCTAACTTTTCCAGCTCTGGTACAGTGCACAAGGCATGGTCCTGACTGGCACACCTGACTGCCTGGTGTCTGAGGGGCAGGCACACTGGGTAGGTCCTGGGGGCACGTGGGTCTTGTAGGGAGCAACATGTTTGAGAGATGTTTCTGGTTCAGTCCTGACTTTCAGTAACCCAGAGTGGTCACTGCACCGTAAAATGGGTGGTGATGGTTTCCTCTGGGGACTGGGAGGGCACCTGTGATGAGGATGACATGGTACTCAGTGCCAGGCTGGGCAAACAGGAAGTGCTCAGTGAGAGGTCCTTCCAGGCCCCTCCCAGCCTGGCAAGTGGTGTGTGCTTCTGACTCACAGCACACGGCGGCCCCGCCCTGACTGCCGGCTCCTCCCCTGCACAGCTCACCACTCCTCCCTGGTGCAGACACGCACCTCTGCAGTCTCCCTACTCTCTGACCCCTGGGTGGCAGGCGTGTGTCCTCACCCACAACCTGTATACGGCAGAGCTTGCAGAGTTCGTGGGACAACTCTGTGCTGGCCTCCCCAGGAGAACGGGACACACTAGGACGGGATGGGCAGCCCCCAGACCCCACAGGACCGCACCTGTGATCACTTCGCTGAGCTTGTGCTGACTGTCGTGCTTGCTCAGGAGGTCAGCCAGGCCTATGACTACTAGCCCCGCGATGGTGGCCAGGATGCCCAGCCACTGGCTAAGTGCCAGCCTCCGGCCCAGGAAGGCCACTGAGAACAGCCCCGTGAATATGATCACTGCGCCTCGGAGCATCTGGAAGCTGGAGGCACTGGTCATGTTCAGGGCTAGGAGAGGAGAGAGAGGACTATTAGCACTGCAGGTCAAAGGCTGGCTGCCCCCAGGGTCCCCAGGGCCGGAGCACAGTGAGTGCTCGACAGCCCTGGTGCACGTGCATGTGCATGTGTGAAGTCTGTGGGAGAGTGAGGGGTGCCATTTCTGTCTACTCACCCACGTACATGATGCTGGTCCCTGTCATGTCACAGAGGGCTGGGGGCAGGAAAAGAAGGGGGTTGAAGGGCTGCTGGGGGTCCACACTGGAGTCTGACTGCCCCATGGCTCTGCACCGGAGCAGGTAGAAGGCAGCCAGGCAGGAGAACTCTCCCAGGAACATGCCCACCGACTGCAGGGACAGGAAGTGGAGGGCTCAGTAAGGAAGGGACCCTGGGGATTACACTGAGAGCTTACCTAGAACCCTGACATGTCAAACAAACAAAAGCAGAGCTGCTGCGGAGGGGCCCTATAGCCTCCTGGGTCGGTCCCAAAGCCCCCTGATGCTATGTGATCCTGTGTGAAGACCACCCAGCCAGCCAACCCCTCCCCAGAGTAACCGAGGCTGAGAAAGCTTTAGACTCCTGGAAGGGCCACAGTGAAGGGGCTGACACAGCTGGGACTGAAATGTGAGCCATTCAATTCCAGTCCAGCAACAGGAAGTCTTCCACTGATGGGGACAGCGCTGTCCCAGTGGATGTCTGAGCTCCCGGTGCCTGGGCTAGGGCCTCCCCGGTGTCCTGACTGGGTACGGCAAGGGCAGGACCACTTGCTGGGACTCAGGCCTCCCACAGAGGCCTGTGCCCTCTGTCCCTCTGCCAGGGGCACTCGCAGGCCTTGTTCTAGTAGACGCCAATGAGAGACAGAAGGCCCTCCTGGGAGCAGGGGAGCTCCAGCCCTAGGCCAGGAAACAGCCTGCCTCGGGGCGCCATTCTGAGGCCTGGGAGTCGGGGAGGGGGGGCCGTACCTGGAGGAAGGGGTGCTGGAAGCTGTGCTCCGCGCTCCCACCACAGCCCTCAGCTCTGAAGTTGTCCGCCCACCTGCAGCAGAGAGAATGAAGGTCAGAGCTGCCAGCCCTGGGGCTCCCTCCTCCTAGTGCCAAAAGGTCCACACTGAGACCCCAGCCAGGGCAGCTCTCACGGGGCCAGACTCCTCAGCAAGGGTTTTATACCTGCGGCTCCTTGGCTGACAAACATGGTATGACACATTCAAGTCACGGTATATATGGCAAAGTATCATTTGTGCTCATTAGTCATCAAAATTATTCACTGGACCCACTACCTGAAATTTAACGTATTGAGAAACACATATGTGTATATTACTACATTGAAAATTCGCTTTTCGGTATCTGATAATTTTAATTTAATTGGTTTCTTTTATGATCTTTGGTCTCTTATTTGCACATTTTAGGACATTACTCTAAGAAGATGGCCACAGGCTATGCCAGGCTGTCAAAGGGATTTGAAGCACAAAGTGTCAGGAGCCTCTGGACACCAGGCATGATGCTGCATGGCTGGAATCCCAGTAGGGGAGGCTGAGGCAGGAGGACTGCAAAACTGGGGTTAACTCGGGCTATGTAATGACACTTTGTTTCAAAAAACAAGCATAAGGAAACAAACAAACAAACAGATCCCACCAAAACAACAAACAAAACAAACAGATCCTCTGGTCTAGAGGGGTACTGGGCCCCGGAACAGGACTACCTGGTCGTCTTCATGGAGCCTGAAAGGTCCTTCTGAGACTGATCCTAAAGCAGGTGTCAAATGCACCACAGCTGGGAAGTGACGGTGGACACCACAGTGGAAGGCGGAGAGGCGGACAGCAGGAAGTTACCGTGAGCTCTTCCTGCTGAGCCCAGAATCCTTCATGGCATGGTACTTCAGGTGGACACCATGCATCACGATGAATCCTCTGCCATCTCTGCACAATTCCCTTCCTGAGTGTCATTTCTGCTGGGCCACTGTGTCTCTGGGGTCCAGTCCAATCTGTCATTTGAAAGTTCCTCAGCTATCTGAGGACTTTGGTAACCCAGGCCTTCCTAACCATTTGCTCCTCTGGCTGCTGCCTTCTGGAAGTGCTCTGGGGGGTCCAGGTCCAGAGCCAAGTACGTGATCCGGTCTGGACAGAGTCCAGCTGACACTGCTCTCACTGTGTCAGCCGTGTCACCTGCTGTGTAGACCTGTGGGCTGGGACCTGCTTCCACGGCAATGCCTCACATGCAGACAGCAAAGTGAAAGACTCAGGATTCTTCCTGTGAAATGTCCTTCCTGGAGAGGTCTCTCCACAGAGACTGCCACACACTCCTGGCTCATCTGTCACAAGCCTGTGCTCCCACAGAGCAGAGGAGCCTTCTGCTTCCTGTATTTCCCACAGCACCACAGAGCTTAAGCTACCAGCGGTGCCAAGTGCCTGTGGTCTGGGTTTGACAAGCGTCCTTCCCAGCAGCCCTGGTGGTTTTTCGTCCCTAAGCTGGGGCCGGGCAGCAGGAAGCTTCCCCTGCTCCACCAAAGACAAGGGCAAGATGGGGACTCTGGCAGCAGGGAGGGTCAGCTGGGGGTGGAGCTCCTGGACAACAAGGGCCACACACACAGACCTCTGAGGGAGTGATCTCAGGGAGCAGCCACATCTACTCAGACACCTGACCACAGTGGGGGACCCTGCCTGCTCCTGGAGATGTGCAGAAAGGGGGACACTTAGGAGGCAAGGGGCTCAGGGGGTCCAGGAAACGCTGAAAGCAAGGGATGTCTTCTTTTTCACTTATAAAGGAAAACATATAATTATGTTCCTAAAGAACAATAAAGAATTTATAAAAAACCATATGTGGATAATATATTAAATCACATTCTGAATACAACTGACTAAGGAATGACATATTTAAAAAATGCAATGTGTTACAAAGAAGCTGTGCAATAGATTTTTATTATTACCCATAGTAATGGTTTAAAAATTAGAATTCAGGGCCAGGGATTTTAGCTCAGTGGTTCCGCCGCCTGTTTTGCAAGTGCAAGGTCCCGAGTTCGATCCCCAATACAAAAATAAAAAAGAAAAAACAAATAAAGACTAGAATTCAGCTGTGATTTAAGCATTTATATCTTAACATAGTTAACATATACACAGGAAGTCTTGACACGAATGGTGAGAAGGCACTGAGAACCCAGGAGCCCTGCAAGGGCCAAGGGACCAGTCCCAGTGCCAAGAGGGCAAGAACACCCCCACCACAGAAAAGAAACCCCTTTCCTGAGGTCTCATTTCTGCTTGAGCTGCTTCTGGTTCTGGCCCTTGGGTCCTCAGGCAGGACAGGACATGGGATGTGGACGGGATGGGCACCAACCAAATGTGTGGCTCACCAACCCAGCCCAGAGCCCCAGGAAGGCCTTGCGGAGGCAAATGAGCAGCAGGGAGTGAAGGGGCAGAGCTGCCTCCCCCGAGCACGTGAGAAGGACGGAGATGGGAGCCGCAGGGCTCCTCAGGAAGGACAGGGAGGTGCTGTGAGCCCGCCAAGGCCAACCGGAAGGCTAGCACAAGCACTTGCTTTCGGAGGGGCTGCAGCACTCTCTGTATGGAAACCACTCTCTCCTCTTGGGGTCACACCCAGGCCACAGATGGGCAGCTCAGGAAGTTCCCCCAGATCTAGCGGTGGTGTCATCCCGGGCTCATCCTGGGCTGCTGCCTGTGTAGCTTATGTTAACAATGCTCACAGAGGTGGCACCTTCTGGTTACATTCACCGGTGGTCTGAGTTGGAGCTCATCCCCCTATTCCTGGCACATTACTACACAGAAGCACACAGGTTTTGTTGAATGAATAACACTTCCAGATCCCACTAAACTGGCAGCCCTGAGGCCCTGTCTCGCTAAGTCCTACTGCGATGGTCTGCGATGCCCCTGATGGTGGAACCAGCTGAGCCAGTGGGGAAACTTCTGAGGCCTGCCCTCTCCCAGTGTGTGCCACTTTGTAGGAAGCTGGCTGTGGCTGGGCTGAGTTCCCTGCTCTCCTCAGGTTGTTTGGCTTTCTCTCCCAGGTAGGTCTGCCTGGACAGGCTGGACTGGCGGGCTGCCTGCTGGGGAAATGCAATCTTTTTGTATCACAGAGCCCAGCAACCCCAGGGCTTGGGTGTCAGGCAGGGCTGCTCTGCCCAGCTGTCTCTTCAGGCAGAGAAGGAGTAGCTTAGGCCTGTAGGTCCCTGGGGTTGGAGTCAGGCTTTGGCTCAGCTGGCTGAGGCTGGCTTGGTTGGAGGGGCTCAGGCCACTGCTCCTGCACTTCTACAGGGCCATAAAGTGCGGAAACAGAAGAAATTCAGCCATCATCTCATGAAACTCCTTATTTGACAGAAGAGAAACCCAGGGCCAGAGAAGGCCTCAGGTACTGAGACAGGCTAACTCCCAAGGCTGGCACTTGGAACAGCCACATCTGCTGCATGCCTCCCTCAGACTGAAGTTCTCCCATGAGGCTCATTCTTACTCCAGACTCTCTCGCCCCCTTGTGGGGGTGAGGGGTCAGCTGTGCAGACAGATGGGACTCCTTTCTCTGCAGACACTGTGTTCTGGGCGACAAGCTGAGGCCCACAAGGAAGCAGGCAGAAGCCCGCTCCTTCTAGGGTTCCCTGAGCGTGGGCAGGCAGGCTGAGCAGTGAGTCACTCTGCGGAGCTGGTGGGGCCTGCTCACACTCAGCGCAGCACTTCGGGTGTTATGTCCATGTCAAGGTGGCAGGCAGACGCAGGGAGGGGCCTATGTGGCTGGCTCAGGCCAATCAGCCGCAAGTCAATTCCCACAGAATCTCTGCTATTTCCTGCTGCATCCCCAGCTTGTCAAGCCCAGTGATTCAGTTCCTCCTACCTTGGCATCTAGAAAAGAGGGATCCAGAGAAGGGCTGGGGCTTCTCCACTGCAACAGGGTCCTGGTGGGCTGAGGCTTATGAGAAGGCATGTGACACTGAGCCCTCTCTTCTCCACAAATGGGAAACCCTTCCTCAGTCCTGCTGTCCAGGAAGAAGACAGGGCAGGGACCATCATGTCTATTTTACAGACACGAGACTAAGGCTCAAGGAGACCCAGTGACTCATCTCACCCCACAGCTTCCAAGCCTCGTGCTCTTTCTACTACACTGCCCTCCAGACTGAAGACTTCCCCAAACTGGTCCTGCAACTCCCTTGAAGCAACTAGCCAGTCAGTTCTTGGAACCCAACAGTGGGGCCAGGTACCCAGGGCAAAAGTTGGAGCTGGCAGGACAGGACAGCGAGAGACTCTTCTCTAACAGAGGCGGGTGGTGCCAGGCAAGACGGCAGGTCCAGAGATGAAGGGAAGTCAGGCCAGGTGGGTCCTATGGACTGCAGAAGCTGGGGAGGGGGCGGAGCCTTCAGAGAGGACACCCAACTACACGCCTCTCCGCTCTGTGGAAATGCTTGGCCTGGGCTCTTTAGATGCAGAACCTAAGCAGAGCTGAGGAGGAGGAGGTCTGAAATGAGGACTGGTCCAGGAAGACAAACAAATCTCAGGGAGATAATCAACACAAGGTGCTCTGGAGGGGAGAGAACACAGCCAGGGGAAGGAGAAGCAGCTACTTTCCCACGAGGGGTGAAGGGCCGGCCTGACTGTTTTTTCCTGCCAGGGGCACGTGACTTCTCCCTGAGGCCTTCCAGAAGCTGCTGAATAAGCGGAGAAGAGCTGCCCTGGGATTCCAGCATAGCTCATAAGCATTTCCTCATCCACTGCCCTGAGTCCTCTGGGCAGCCAGGAGGAGCACCATGCTTCCTTTACCGGCCAAGGCACAGCACGAGCTGCGGGACTCTCAGTCCCAGCCTTGAGTGGCCTCGAGCTCCAGGGGAACACAAGCAGCATGAAAGCAGGGTTCCCGGTCTGAGCGGAGACTTGTGGCCCAGTCTTGGGAGGACACAGGCTTGATGGTCTTGGGGAGATAGGGAAAAGCACAAGGAGGCAGGACCGTGGGGTCTTAAAGGCCTGGACAGGACTAAAGTTCCAAGGCCTGGGTGCTAGCTGTCATTCCTCACTGACCAGCTAACTCACAGAAAGACACTTTCTCTTGGGGTCTGGCCTATAAATCGAGGGAGACTGGATGATTTTTGTTTCTAACAATTCTAAGCACTTTAAAAATGACTAGTGGAGTCTCTGCCTCCCTCACTAAGAACAGATCCTAGAGCCAGACCACGTGGACTCACACAGAGACTTGGCAAGCTTGTAGGTGAGTCAAATTCGGTAACTTCATCAGATCATACATCAGTTTCCTTATCCAGAGATAATGAGCTTATCTACCTCTCGGGTGGGAGGCTCCTGAGAAGCTCTAGGTTACAGGGCAGGGGACAGGACCAAAGGTTGTGTCTCTCACCTGGGAACTTGTTTCCTGACTCTCAGGCAGCTTCCATGAGTGATGCCTCTGGAAGGTCCCTTGGCTTCCTACCTGACTGGTTTGAGGTTTTGAAGGAAGGAGCTGACTCAGTGTAGATTATCTCAGTAGTAAATGGCCATTTAGATTCTCCTTAGGGACAGCAACCCTGGAAGACTTATAGCTATGCTCCAAGCAAGTGACCGAGGCCCTGGCTGGAGGCATAGTCGCATGGAAGACTTGTCTTGTGTTCAGGTTCTGACTGAGATAGGAACCTTCAGTCTCAAGGAGTGACCTCCAGGGCCCAGGAAGCCAGGAGCCCCATAGGACACAGCTGATCAGAGGTGAACCAGAGATGGGTGGGCCCCGCCCAGAGCTTCACGGACTGTATCCTCCTTTAGGGGAAGGAGGGTCACTGTGACTGTCATGTGTGCCCACCCCAGACTGTTTAAACATCTCGAAATCAAGGACCTTTTCTTGGTTGCTGCCCTCTCAGTCCCTGTAGATATTTAATACACATCTGGTGATTGACTATTTCTCTCAGTCTTTCCTCTAAAGCACCCTTCATATCACTGACAGAAGTGCTAGACACAAGTGCCCAAAAGATGAACCAAAAACAGCCACACCCCTCAAGAGAATCATAGACTCTCTCTTTGCAGTGCTAGAGATAAAACCCAGGTCTGTGGGCATGCTAGGCAAGCACTCTACCATGGGCCACACGATCCTCCCAGAAAACCCAGGAGACCTGGAGGACGGCCCAGAGAGGGAGGGAAAACTTCCACTGGGAGTCACCACACCCGCCTGCTGGCTCTGGAGCAGGCAGCAGCCTGCCTGGACAGGGACCACTGTCCACCCTTCTCCAGGTGCACCCTGGAATTAGTTCAGATAAAGGCCAGCCTGTGGGCACTGGGGCTTTTAGATGAACAGGAGGTGGAGGTGCCTGCCCTGAGGTGGGGACAGAGAAAGTAGCAAAGAACTGTGTGTGGGGGGGGGTATGACAGGAGGAAATGTTCGGTCCCTCAGCCCTGGGGGTCTTCGGTCCTCACCTTCTGGGGACTGTCCTTACTGTCTCCCCACCACGTACCAGAGCTGAACTGCCCCACTTGCCCTCCTGGTTGGGTTGGGGACATTCCGAACCCTAATCTTGTAGGTCAGGTCACCCTTCACTCTCCCACCTGGCCCTCCCTACCTTTCCCGCCTCATACCCCTCCTAGTTGCCTTCATTTTCTAGCAGCAGCCAGAGTGGTTCTCCCTGCCCCAGTGCGTTCATATTGACCTTCGAGTTGCCCATACTGCTTTTCTTTCTTCCATTCAGACTTTCAACATGTCACTTCCCGGATCAATAGTCCCTCTCAGAATGGGATAAAACCCAGACAGGCATTTGGGGCTGGTTACCAGTGGCTTTGAGCTAGCTTTCCCCGCCTGCAAGTCTGCGCTCCCACACAACCCCACCTAGGCGCCAGGCGCAGCTCCCACGCGTCCTCCATAAGCTGCCCGCGGGCAGCCTCATCTCTGCAGCCGCAGCCTTGCGC